TTTTGATGTTTTTAGACCTACAGTAGCCAGAACGAGAGCAACGAAGACTATGAGATACCCCCGATAACCCCTCCCAACCTCCCGGAACCATCTCTCCTGCACTTGGGGGACCACGAAGCCGGCTACCACTCACTGTGCCACAGCCTCGCGCCCAACGGACTGCTCCCTGCTTACTCCTACCAGGCCATGGATCTCCCGGCCATCATGGTGTCCAACATGCTGGCCCAGGACAGCCACCTGCTGTCGGGCCAGCTGCCCACGGTGAGTCGTGGTCGCCCTCCATGGGTCGTCCCAGTTACAGAGGGAAGGGGGCTCAGGGGGGAGCAGAATGCGAATGTCTTGGTGAGGACCCTCTGCTTGTGGGCAGGGTCTGGGCTCTGTTGCTTGCGTGGGAGTCTGCAGAAGATGGGGGGTGGGCATGGAGCGGAATTTATGTCTTCACACTGCTTACTTCCAGAGCTCTGTTTAGAATATCTTGGTATTCTTTGTGTTAGTATTGACCTAATTCCTAATTCCTATGCCATACATTTCACCCATGTAAAGCTTACAATTCAGTATCTTTTAGGATATTCACAGAGTTGTGTGTGACCATCAGTAGGCTCCATTTCAGAATATTGTCATCACCCCAGAGAAAAACTCTGTACTCTTTAGTCATCATTCCCAACCACCCACACCGTCCACAATCCCCAGCCCTAGGCAACCACTCATCTACTTTCTGTCTCTCTCTCTCTATTTGCCTATCCTGGACATTTCATATAAATAGAATCATATTATTTTTAAAGTATTGTATCTTCTTTAGGCTGCCAGGGAAGAAGGCGAATGCTGAGTGAAAGTTTTCAGATTAGGTAGAAATTTGGCAGCACGTACAAATGCAGAAGGCAGGCGGCTCGCTCGTGTCAGACTTGGGAATGGATGTGGTTTATTCCTGTTGTCCATCTGAAGAGGAAGGACCTGGAGCCAAGGAGGCAGAGAGGAGATGAAAGAGCTGGCAGGACCTGGATCCTAAAAGTTCTGAATCCCATGCTAAGGAGATGTATGATTTTTCAGCATAAATGGCTGACTTGAACAATTGAGACCTATAGAAAATGAGTACAGCATTTTTTTTTTGGTATAATAGAAAAAACTCCTTAAGGGAATCCTAGTACTTNGAGGAATTATGAAGCTCACTGAAAGATGGCAAAAGGTTATTGAACAAAACGGGCAATATATCATTAATTGATCTTTGTTCTTTATATAAATAAATGACCTTTGGAAAACATAGGCAAAATACATCATGACTTTTCAGACAACCCAATAATTCATCAACACAATAAATAGACAAAAAGTACAGGATGTTACAGGTGATACGTGACAATAAGGAAACAGTAGGGTATGGCCAATGGTTTGCAATTTTAAATTGAGCAGTGAGGGTAGACATCATTGAGAAAAGGTTTTCTGAGCCAAGATCTGAGGGGGCAAAGGAATGAGCTGTGCGAATATTTAAGAGAAGTGTGTTCTAGAGAGAGGGAACAGCCATTGCAAAGCCTCTGAGGCAGAAGCATGCCTGGTACGGCCAGAGTGGCATGAACAAAGATAGTAGTAGGTGATGATGTCAGGGAGGTGGAAGGGACGGAGGTGGGAGTGGGGGAACTAGAGACCATGTAGCCATTGTAAGGACAATGTTCTTACTCTAAGTGAGAAGGGGACCCCTGGAGGGTGGTGAGCAGAGGAGTGCCAGGATCTTACATTTTAGCAGGATAATGCTGGCCCTGAGTGAGAATAGACCACAGCAAGGGTGGAGGCAGGGAAAACAGGTAGGCGACTACTGCAATCACCCAGGGTAAAGAGGATGATGGCTTGGACCATCATGGTCACATCTTGTCTTTAATTCTGAAGATGGAGCCGATGGGACTTCCTGACAGATTTGGTGTAGGACGTCCAAGAAAGAGAGGAGTTAAGGATACAGATCAAAGGCATTTGGCCTAAGGAACTGGAAGGCTGGACTTGTCATTCGTTGAGGAGGACAAGACCATGGTTGGACAGATCCTCTTTTGGACATGTTCAGTTTGAGATGCCTATGTTTAAAATCCAAACGGGGGTTTCAAGTAACAGTGGGCTACATGAACTTGCAGTTCAGGAGAGAGGTCAGGGCTGGAGATAGGAGCTGGGGAGTCCGCAGCAGGTAGATGGTATTTCAAGCCACAGGTCTGGGTGAGATCACAAAGGAGCGAGTATGTGCTGAGAAGATGTTTGGAATCTGAGCTCTGTGACACGTCACCATGCATAGGTTGGGGGAAAAGAATGGGAACCAGCAAAGGACACGGAGAAGAAATAGGCTGTGATTTAGGAAGACCAAACTCTGTGGTGTCCTCGAAGCAAGTGAAGAAATTTGTTCCCAGGAGGAGGTAGGTGGCCAACTATGTCAAATGGTGCTGAGAAGGTCAAGGTGGTCAGGTGCAGACAGATCTGACCACTGGATATTGTAACAGAGGTTATTTGGTGGATGGTGGGATGAAAATGTGATTGGAGTGGGTTTGAGAGAGAATGAGTGGAGAGGAAGTGAGAACTCTTTCCAGAAGTTTCCCTGGAAGGTTTTGCTGATACTTGTAGCTTCCAGAGCTCTTACAGCTTGGCATCTTCCTCTACACTCTCACAAGGACGCTGGTGCCAGAGAGCAAATTTAGGCACCGTTGAGTGCCCCATCTCTTACTTAGGGGAAATCAGGGTGGGAAAATGCTGGATTCAGAGTCACAAGACCTGGGATTGAATCCCATCCAAGACTTGCTAGCTATGTGACGCTGCCTCCGCTCTCTAAGCTTCATCTTCTTTGTCTGCAAAAATAGTCACTTCTTTTTGCAGAACTCATAGGGATTAAATGGAGAACGTCTGTGGAAAAGCTGGGTCCAGTGCCTGGCACACAGTAGGTGCTCACGTATGAATCAATAGCAGGATGGGCTGGTATTCAGGTGTCATGCATTTAGGATTTGACTGCATGCGAAGGAGGCCTGTACATGTTTGCATGCTTAGTTATTTTTAAGTGTGCTAATTGCCTCTTTAAATGAATTGTCATAATTGTGTTATTCCAATATTTTGATACAACATATGCTTATTTTTGCAAAGGCTTCTGGTTGATTGGGCCGGTTCCAGTGTGTTGAGTTTGGGTTTTTAAGTGAAAGGAATGGACTTGTGCAGTCAGTCAGCATTCACTGGGCACAAGCCATGTGCCAGCGTGTGTTCTGGGGGCTAGGGGGCAGAGAGGAAGGAAGCTGTTGACAGACATGAACCATAGGTGACTGAGGGACTTATGGTCTGTCAGAAGGGACAGATATGGAAACACCTAGGTGAAGTCTAAACCCAAAGCCTGGCGCATTCCCCCATTCCATGTGCTCATCCACCACTTTCTAATTGAGTACCTACTATGTGCCAGGCATTGGTGACAAGACAGCCTTAACCCATGCCCTCCTGGAGCCTGGGGCATGGGGGCAGAGGACACAGCAGAAGGTAAATACAGAATCAGAAATAATTTTAGGAGGTAATGATGCTATATAGGGAGAGCACATACAAGGGGCTGAGGAGGGCGGGGGAATTAGAGGAGGCGAGTCTTGCTGTAGGATGGGTAAGGGTCTGGAGGAGGCTTCCTGGAACTCTGCTTTCTGGGGTGATGTGATGCCCATGGCTGAGTCCCATCTAAAGGCAATCAGCCAGCCCCCAGGCCACCTCGGTGGTCAGGCTGAAGACACACATCACCCCGTGGGGCACAGGTCTGTGTTGTGAGGAGTTAGGAACATTCACAGCAGGGAAAACGCGTAAGGATACTGAGTGCAGGAGCTGCTGTTTACTTGCTCTGTGTCCTTGGGGAAGTTCATTCATGTCTCTGAAACACCTGGCAGGGACAATGACAGCAATAACTACCGACACTGAAAGGGCTGGCTACATGCCAGGCAGTGTCGATATGAGCAATTGGCACATATTGATTTATTGACCCTTAATAGCAACTCTGTAGTATGTACTGCTATTACCCTCTTTTCACATGTGAAGAAACAGGCACAGAGAGGTTAAGTAACGTGCCCCAAGTCACACAGCTTGTGCATGGAAGAGCCAGCATTCAAACCCAGTCTCTCTGGCTCTTAACCACTTGCATCATAGTGCCTCCTGAATGATGGGGACAGTCACCCCCACGTCCAGGGCAGTCACAAAGGTTGAGTGAGACGCTGAGATGCTGCTTCTGGTGTCTGCCCTCGGGCCTAGCTTACTCATCCGTTCAATTATTTCTTTTTGCGCTCTTACTTTGTGCCAAGTTCTAGAAAATGGGACATACAATTGAACATCGTGTTGAACATTAAACAAATAATTATACAAGAAGTTAGTTAAGTACAAGGTCAATGAGTGCTTCCGAGGAAATATGCACGGTACCCGGGGGCATATAATGGGATCTAATCACCCTAGAGAGTACCAGGGGAGACATTTAAACCAAACCTGTTGCTGAGGGATGAATCGGAATGAGCCAGATGAAGGCAGAGCGTGTGGGGACAGAGGTTTCCAGCAGATGGAACGCTCACTATCTCTATTCAACATTGTATCGGAGCTTCCTGGTCAGGCCATTGAGGTGGGAAAAATGAACAAATAAGGATCGGAAAGGAAGGCTTCTAGTGTGGCTCCTCGCGTACACCCCTGGGGGAATGTTTGTACCGTTTACCAAGATGAGAAAGCCCAGGCGAGGACCTGATAGAGCGTGGGTGTTGGAAGCACGTATGAGAAAGTCATCCAGCTGCCCTGGCAAGCCACCAGGCACGGAGTCAGGATGCTGCAGCTCTACTCCCAACTCTGCCATTAACCTTGGATGAGCTCGCTGCCTTCCTTCTTGGATCGGAGTAGTTCTTCCATCTTTGAGATGGGTGGGTGTGGGGAGATGGATTCGCGGTAGTGGCCGGATCTGGTGGGAAACAGCTTAACAGGAGCCGGCCCTTCTCCGGGAGGGCAGGTGTTTGCATACAGACCCTCTAGGGCAGCGGTTCTCAACTGTGGGTCGCGACCCCTTTGGGGGTTGAATGACCCTTTCACAGGGGCCGCCGGGTACTCGTATGTGGGTGTATCTGCATGTGGGCCTGGAGACGGATAGAGGAGCGGTGTCTCGGTTCCTAAGACCATCGAAAATATGTGTTTTCCGATGGTCTTAGNAGGGATTGAGGAACAAGGTGATTCTAGCAGCCTCATCATCCATCTCCGCATGGTACGGGAGCTCTATTTCCTCAAGTGTTGGTAACCCCCCACTTCCTGGCCCT